ATAATATTCTCTGATGGTTGTTGTATTTCTGTGGGGTCAGTGGTAATATCTCCATTGTTATTTCTAATTGTGTTAATCTGGATATTCTTTCTTTTCTTCTTTAATAGTTTAGCTAGTAGTTTACCTATTTTATTTCTCCAAAAATCATTTCCTGAATTCATTGATCCTTTTAATTGTTTTTTATTTTTTTATTTTTATTTCAGTCTCCTTCAGTTAATCTCTGATTTTGGTTGTTTCTTGTCTTCTAGTTTGAGGCTGAGTTTCTCCTGATTCTCTAGCTCTTGTATTAGGTTGGTGAAAATGTAAATGCAGTTCTTGTATTGTTGGAATTTGCTGTTTGATACTGGAATACATTCTTAAATAAATGTGGTTATGTTATACGTTGTTTTAATGCACATTAAAACTGCTGTCCTTTGGATGAGGTTTTTTGCTTTTATATTCTTTGATAGTCTTGAGGGTTTGACTGTGGTATAAATTGGGTTTAGTTGACTGGTTTTCTTTCTGGAAGATTTTAGGGGACCAAAGCTCAGCTATGTGCTCTTGGACTGCTTGCTGTAATCCTGGAGGTCTGGTACCAGGCCTGTGGCTTTGTTCTCTGGTCCCTCGAAGTTAAGCACCTACTGCACCTTAGGAGCGAAGGTGCTCCCAGTCTGCTGGTAACAATACTCTGATGAGGAGTGACAGCCAAAGCACTTCATCAGGGTAGTGGCAGTGGAATCAATGCCTGCACATGTATATCAGGAACAGCTATCTATTCAGTGGTGTCCAGACAAAACTATTAAAACCAACTGTAGCTATGGCAAATTATTAATGAATACAAATTACCAAAAAATGTAAAATTTGACATCAAAATAATAAAATGTGGGAGGGAGGGGTGAAAGTGTAGAGTTATATGCAATTAAAGGCAAGTTATTATTGGATTAAACTGTTTTAAGGATAAGCTATATTATGTAAGCCTCATGGTAATCACAAAGCAAAAAATCATAGTAGTTGTTACACACAATATAAAAAGAAAGAACAAAAAGTATACAACCACAAAAAGCCAACAAACCACAAATGAAGATAACAAGAGAGGAAGAAGGAAGCAAAAGACCTATAATACAAACAGAAAAGAAATTACAAAATGGCAGTAGTAAGCTCTTATCTATCCACAATGACTTTCAATGTAAATGGATTATACTGTATAGTAAGATACATAGGGTGGCTGAATGGATTTTTTAAAAAAGCAAGATATAATCATATGCAGCATACAAGAGACTTACTTTAGTAATAAGGACACACATAGACTGAAAGTGAAGGGATTGAAGAGATATTCCATGCAAATAGAAATGAAAAGAGAGCAAGGGTAGCTATACTTATAACAGACAAAATAGATTTAAGTTAAATACTATAAAAGAGAAAAAGAAGTTCATTACATAATAGCAAAGAAGTTAAATCACCACAAAGATATAACAATTGAAAATATATACCCACCTAAAATTAGAGCATCTAAATATATAAAGCAATGACTAAGTGATCCAAAGGAAAAAATAGAATGTAATATTACAGTAGGGGTTTTCAATATCCCACTTTCAATAATAGACAAATAATCTAGACAGAAAATCAAAAAAGAAACTGTGAACTTGAAGTACACTTTAGACTAAATAGACCTAAAAGAAATATACACAACACTGTATCCAATAGCAAGAAAACTTACATCCTTCTCAAGTACACATGGAACATTCTCCAGGATAGCCCATATGTTAATGCACAAAACGAATCTTAACAAATTTAAGAGAACTGAAATCATGTCAAGTATCTTTTGAGATCACAATGGCATGAAACTAGAAATCAATAACAGGAGATATCTTGGAAAACATACAAATGTGTTGAAATAAAACAACATGCTCCTAAACAACCAATAAAGAAAAAAGCAAATAGAAAATAAAAAATTACCTTGAGACAAACAGAAATGTTAAGACAATATATAAAAACTTATGGGAGGCAGCAAAAGCAATCTTAAGAGGGAAATTCATAGCAATGAACACCTACATCAAAAAAAAAAAAAAAAGAAAGATTACAAATAATCTAATGTTACCACTCAAGAAACTAGAAAAATAAGAATAAACTAAGCCTAGTGATGGTAGAAGAGAGGAAATAATAAAAATCCAAGCAGAAATAAAAAGAGACTAGAAAAACAATAGAAAATGTCAACAAAACTAAGTTGGTTTTTTGAAATGACAAAGTTGACAAACCCTAGCTAGACTAACTAGGAAAACAAGAAACTACTCAAATAAATAAGATCAGAAATGAAAGAGGAGACATTACAATGTACATTGCCTATATATACTATAATAGACATATATAGGCACACACAAATATATAGGTGATAGACCACATTAATAAAGGATAAAAATCATATAATGATTTCAACATATGCAGAAAAAACATTTGAAAAAAATTGAACATTCTTGTATGATAAAACTCTTAATGAATCCGGTATAGATATAGAGGAAATGTACCTCAACACAGTAAAGGATACATATGATAAACCTTTAGCTAACATAATTCTCAACAGTAAAACGTTCAAAGCTTTTCTTCTAAGATCAGTGATAAAACAAGTATACCTACTCTCACCACTTCTTTTCAATATAGTACTGGAAGTCCCAGCTAGAGCAATTAGCAAGAGGAAAAATTTAAAGCCTAATGGGAAGTATTGGCAAAACTGGAAATTAGACCCTTACCTCTCACCATGTACAAAAATCAACTAAAGTGAATTAAGCACTTAAATATAAGACCTGAAACAATAAAATGACTAGAAGAAAACATAAGGGAAAAGCTTCATGACATTGGTCATGTACATTTAATATTTTACTGTTACAAAAAGATCCTCCAAAGAGCATACCTATACATATTTCTTTGGTCCATGTGCATGCGTTAATCTAGGTACATACTTAGATTCAAAAAGTACTGGGTTACAGAATCTTCACCTTTATCAGATATTACTTAATGGTTTTCAAAAATAGTTATAATAATTACAATTTGACCAGATGCAGAGAACTCTCATTTTACTACATCCTTGACTTACATTTTTGTCAATTTATGGAAACGTGCTTCCAAAGCCCAAGGAAGCTCTGAGACCAAACAGGCTGACAAATCCAATCTGTCAGAAGGAAAGAATAGAGACAAACAGAAGCAACCTCTGTACTTGCCTTCCAGAAAGTATTATTTTCTAGCAAGCTTTTAAGGTAAAGACAAGTGCAACTGGTTAGCTCTTAGACTATTGTGACCACTGGGGACCTTAGTTAAGCATCTTTATGAGGGGTTATGGATGTTATGAGCATTGTTTAAAGACCTTTGCTGCAGAACACCTTGGTGTGCAGGGGTCCAACATCAGTCCTCATGATAGTTTTGCTTCAAAATGGTGTCACTCTTGCCAGGAAACAGGCTGTTTTTCTACACGGTCTAATGGATGTGAAATATTATTTTAACTTGCATTTTTCTACAGAAAGTTGGACTTGCTTTTCATATTTTTTCCATTTTTCTATTGTGTCATTTTTCTTATTATTCCTTTGTAAATTTTAGAAATACTTAAGTCTCTATTTTATAACTATATTTTCCAAGATTGTGCTTTAACTTTAATTTTCTTTTTTTCTTTTGAGACGGAGTTTTGCTCTTGTTACCCAGGCTGGAGTGCAATGGCGCGATCTCAGCTCACCGCAACCTCCGCCTCCTGGGTTCAGGCAATTCTCCTGCCTCAGCCTCCTGAGTAGCTGGGATTACAGGCACGTGCCACCATGCCCAGCTAATGTTTTGTATTTTTAGTAGAGACGAGGTTTCACCATATTGACCAGGATGGTCTCGATCTCTTGATCTCGTGATCCACCCACCTTGGCCTCCCAAAGTGCTGGGATTACAGGCTTGAGCCACCGTGCCCGGCCAACTTTAATTTTCTTAAAGTTATATAGTCAATTTTTAATTAACTTTTTTCATGTTTATGAAACCCTTCTGACAGCCAAAGTTATGAACATATGTTTCTATATTTTCTTGTTAAAGTATAAGATTTTGCCTTTCATATTTACAAATTCACTTTACCTGTTTATTTTTGTGTGCAATGCCAGGTAAAAAAAATTTTTTTCTATGTGGATAGTTAATTATTCTGGCACCACAAGTTCCCATTTACAAGGCTACTAGTCTATTTAATCATGCTCAAAACCAGCTCGGCCCTTTCATGTCTTTCATCACATCCTTTATTGCTTACCTCTCACCACACCCTTTTACAACAGCATTCTTTTCTTGTTAAACCAGATCATTCACTGCATTTACTCTTCTTGCAATATGCTAAAACTGTTCGTGCTTTCTGTACAAGTCAAGTTTTTGCCTTTAAGGAAAATTACTAAATTTAAATCTCCTGTGAAAAAGACATTGCCTAAGGTATGTTTTCACCCTTCATACTGAGCATTGATGTAGTAGGTTTTCAAATACTGTTTGATTCTGAATTTAAGTTGGCCCTCAGAGACGGGAAGTTTCACCTGGTACCAGCTAAATAGCCACATATTTAGGAACAATCACAGCAATTTTAATGACTAGGAAGCAGTCATCATTTCTGCCCCTTGGGTAGGCTGCTCAGTGGTGGGCGGTGGGCGGCGCTGACAGCGTGGGTCTGGGGAGGCTGGCGCTCTGCAGGCGGGGCCGGGGCCGGGGCCGGGGCGTGCCCGCCGGGCGGGAGACGCCGGGAGCAGGCGCGGTTCTGAGCCGCGCGCGCGTTCACGGTGCAGTTCTGTCTTCTTCACTTCCCACGGTTGCCTGGACCCCCCAAATAGCAAGAGGTGGACATTCGCATTCGGAGTCACAACCGCACCGCCGGCTAGAAGGTCGGGGCCCGACAGACACAGGGCCCCGACCTCCAAGCCGGCGGTGCGGTTGGCGCCCAGTTCTCGGGCGCCTTCTAGAATCCCCCGCTGGCCGCCCCGCTGCCGGGTTACCGCACTCGGCCGGGGACACCCACGCTCTCCCCTCAAGGACCCGGGTTGGCTGGCCCAGTTTTGTACGGGAGACTGAAGGCTACGTCGGCGTAACAGTTGAAAGGGAAGGACGCGGAGACCACCCGGTACCCGTCCCAGGAATTTACAGTTTCTGTTTTGGCGCCCTGTGGGGATCGCGGGTGCGAAGCGTGGGCAGAGCGATGGGGCGGGCGCGCCGCGTGGGCCACACTCGCAGAGCCGCCCACCGCCGCCACGAGGCCGCCTAGCGCGCGCCTGGACTGCATTTCCCATAGGCCCGTGCGGCGCAGCACCGCCCATCCGGGCCCCACGCGAGTGCGCGGCCGCGGGGTGTCCTGGCTGCAGCCCCCGCCCGCCCGCAGAGCTTTTGAAAGGCGGCGGGAGGCGGCGAGCGCCATGGCGAGCCTGGGCCGCCTGCTGTCCTTGCTGGGTCTGCTCCTCTGCGGGGCGGCGAGCCTCGGGCTGTCCGGACCCTACAGCGACACTGCCAAGAAGCCCATCATCGGTAAGGAGGCTGTGCGGGGCCGCGGCAGGCTGGGCGGGGCTGGCTGTCGGCGCTGGTCGCCCTCGGCCGCCGCGCTCCAGCCGGCCCGTCCCGCCGGGGAAAGCCCCGCTGTGTGCCTTCGCTTATGGTGCAGGGAAGAACCCGGGCTGGGTACCCTTTGGGCCGTACTGAAATGTACCCGGTTCAGGTGCCTCGTTCATTCCCTTATGGCTTTTAAAGATGGGAGGGAGGGGGGGTGCACTGCGAAGAATGCTGCGGATTTTCTTTTTTTGTACACAGCTAGGAATTTCTACTAAAAGAAAACATTTCTTTTTGGCATGTAGTTGGGGATTTTTGCTCATTTACATCTACAAATGCTGTACATGCATTATATTTGTTAAAATGTCTCGGGTTGAGGGCGTATTTAAAATACCAGTACATTATAATATAAAATCAAGAAATTAAGGTGTAACTTGGATTTTGTCATGTTCATAGCAGAAGACAGCAGTGGCTAATATCCTAATGTCGGTTCTATTTGGTGTTAAAATGAAGCACACAATTTTTCCTTTCCAACACATTTGTGTTTTAAAGAGATAGTAAAATCAGTTTGTGTACCAAAACACACATTTGAGACAGGCTCAGGGAAAGCTACCTAGGAGAAATCATCCTGGGGTTAAAATCTGCCAAAAGAAATTTGTGTATGGACAGTAACATTCTTTTTATTTTGGCTGTAGGATTATGCCTTTCATACTCTTTTTTTTCTTCTACGAAGATGATTACCGTATTCTGTAACTCAACAGGAAGTAGATGAATGCTTTTTATATGGGTAGTGCCCACTTTTCAAATGGGTTGCTTACTAATATTTGGAACTTATTTCATAGCTGTTTAACATGGTGATTTGATTCTCCACGAACTAACCAAAACTATAATTAATGTAACAGGTTGCATATTGTGTGTCCAGAGAACAGAAAAAACAAACAAACAAACCAGAGGGGTTCTTGATCCCATTCCTAGAATCCGGGGTAGTCCTGTGTCAAATGTTTAAAAAAGGGACTTTGGTTGTGGTCACTGAGATCAGTTAACACAAAATCGTTAACTGAGTACCTATTATGTGCACAGTCTTGCCCAAGGAAGTGCAGAGGATTAAAAGATGACAAGGAAGCCACAAAAGTTGCGAGATGGCCTTAAAGTATGGGTGGAATTTTGGTTACATTTTGAGGGACAGGAAGTACAGCCTGAGCTCTTTTCCCAGGGATGGGAAAAGTGAGTATGTGTGGGCCGAGGGGAGTGGGCGTTGTTGGTGGAACTCACTCTCATGTACTTCTGTTTCTGGTATCCTTGTGCTCCCATGATGCCCCATGTCTCCTCTGTGGTACCTCACCCCATGTACCCTGTACCACTCCATTTCCTATGACACTCCCAGTTCTTCGTTCCCGAGCCAAATGTTATATTCCTTAGTGAAGATGATCTTACCTACCAGCAAGGAGAAAAAGTCTTATGAACAAATTTTGGCGTTTGACATGTTACCTGAATACCTGATGAATGCTAATTGTAAGAAGCTGGGAACACAAAAGTGAGTAATACAGACAGCTGCTCTTCCTGTCAGGTGGCCCACAGAGACACTGAAAGTGTTCCAAATGCTGAAGTGCTGAATAGGAGGAGTAGGCACAGGAACTCACCCTACAGATGTGTTTTGATGTAGACTGGTTGCTGTATTGTGCTGGGGCTGGGTTTCACTGATAAAAGGAGGCCAGAGAGATGGGTGGGGCAGAGCACACAGGGTCTTACAGAGTTTATTAAAGTTTAGGGACCCACTGAGGTAGTTAAATAAGGTGGTGACACTTGCCTGCTGATTTATCTCTCCCTGATCTCGTTTCCTGTTGCGTTCTGCCTTCACTCACCTGGTTCTAATAATATGGATTCTTTGCTCCATGACAGGCACGTTCCTGACTCCTGGCCTTTGCACTTGCTTTTCCTTTGTCATGGATTGCTCTTTTCCCAGATACAGGAATGTGGTTTACTCTCTCACCTCTCTGAGGTCCTGGTTCAAATGTTATGTTTTACCTTCTCAGGGAGGACTTGCCTGGCCACCGTGTTGAAGAGACTGTCCTCTCTGTCCTCTCCTCTGAGCTACTGGGGAGCTCTCCATAGATGGAGGAGAGGACAGTCCCCACCTTCCTTCTCTCCTTAGTGCTTAGGACGAGCCATCACTCTATATAATATTGTGCCTTTTTATCTTGTTTATTATTCATCCTCTCTCCCCTCCCTGCTGTACACTCGAATTCATGCACACAGGGCAGGGGTTTTTGTTTGGTTCGCTTATGGTTGTGGGTCCCCAGCACCTAGTTCGTTGCCTGGCATGTGGTATGATTCAACAGTATATATTGAATGAGTGTAGGAATAAGAATGGTGATATAATCCGATTTGCTTCTATGTGGACAGCTGCTTGGTGCTTGGGGGGGAGCTCTTAAGAAAAGATGTAGCAAGACCTTCTAAGAGTCTATTATAATAGTGTGGTGGGAGAGAAGACATATTGATAGCTTGGGCTAAGGTAATGTTGGAGAGACGTGGATGGAAGATATTTTCACTCCTTAGCTTCATTGTCGGGGAATTGTGTGTCTGTGAGTATGTGTGGGAAACGAGTGGTGGCCTTGTAGATTTAAGGATCTATATTCTTTTTTTTTTTTTTTTTTTTTTTTTTGAGACGGAGTTTCACTCTTGTTACCCAGGCTGGAGTGCAATGGCGCGATCTGGGCTCACCGCAACCTCTGCCTCCTGGGTTCAGGCAATTCTCCTGCCTCAGCCACTTGAGCAGCTGGGATTACAGGCACGCGCCACCATGCCCAGCTAATTTTTTTGTATTTTTAGTAGAGACGGGGTTTCACCATGTTGGCCAGGATGGTCTCGATCTCTTGACCTCGTGATCCACCCGCCTCGGCCTCCCAAAGTGCTGGGATTACAGGCTTGAGCCACTGCGCCTGGCCAGGATCTGTATCCTTGAGATGGATTCTAGGTGTACAGTTGTGTGAAGGCTGCAAGTGCTATTGTAAGCCTTCTTTGGGGGCTTATTTGGCCTCCCTGATGCGGTGTGCGAAAGATCTGCTTGAAACTAAGATCAGCCTCCCCTGCTTCTTTCCCACAGCCTTTAGATGGACTTGCAGGAGAAACTTCCTGTTTAATTCTGTGAAATGAAGTAATAAAATACGATGATTTGCTGTGATATGTTTCAGTTTCTGAGCAAGAAGAAAAGAAACTTGCTTGAACTAAACTTTTTTTTTTGTTATTAGGAATATTAATGCAAAAATGCCGTAATAAAGTCATGAAAAACTATGGAAGATACTATATTGCTGCATCCTATGTAAAGTATCTGGAGTCTGCAGGTGCAAGAGTTGTACCAGTAAGGTATGATCTAGTGTTTTTTTTTACTTTGTATAAAAAATTGCTGCATACGTCTGGCTGCAGTGACTCACATGTGTAATCCCAGCACTTTGGGATGCTGAGGCGGGTGGACCACCTGAGGTCAGGAGTTCGAGACCAGCCTGGCCTACCTGGTGAAACCTCATCTCTACTAAAAATACAAAAATTAGCCAGGCATGGTGGTGCACACCTGTAATCTGAGTTACTGGGGAGGCTGAAGCAGGAGAATTGTTTGAACCAGGGAGGTGGAGGTTGCAGTGAGTTGAGACCACACCACTTCCCTCCAGTTTGGGCAACAGCGCGAGACTGCGTCTCAAAAAACAAAAATAATTATAGCATAATATTTCTAAAATTCATACTTTCTCTCTTATGATTACATTGTTTAAATGCAGTAACATTGCATCTTAATTTAGCCACAAACTTGTTGCTTAGAGTCTCTCTTTAATTTGTTTAATGTGGGAAGCTGTGTTACCTGTAATGTCATTAGAGTTACTGTATGTCATATGCATTAGCATCAAGAATGAAATGATAGTTTCCTTTACTCCAGAAAAGTTGGTCGTCACAGACCCTATGAAGGTAACGGAGTAAAATAATCTAAAATTTATGGAAACTCAGAGAGGGAGAGAGTGTTTGGGGGGTGAGGGATAAAAAGCGACATATTGGGTACAGTGTACATTATTTGGGTGACTGGTACATTGAAATTTTAGACTTCACCACTATACAATTCATCCATGTAACCCAAAACCATTTTTACCCCAAAGGCTATTGAAATAAAAAAAATATTTTAAAATGAATCTACAATTTAGCCAGCATTCTTTCATAATATTAGGATAAGAGAACATTTAGGGAATGAAGGAGGTTTTTAGAAGATGACGAAGATGACTTTTAAAATACCTTTACATTCTACTTTAAAAATTTGTAAATTACTATTGCATTAGTGATGCTTCAGTGTACACTATAGGTACTGTACTTTTAAAGGCACCACATTATTTTGTGATAAAATATTCCTATAAGAATATAATGATTTGGCCGGGCACGGTGGCTCACGCCTATAATCCCAGCACTTTGGGAGGCCGAGGCGGGTGGATCACAAGGTCAAGAGATCGAGACCATCCTGGTCAATGTGGTGAAACCCCATCTCTACTAAAAATACAAAAATTAGCTGTGCCACCATGCCTGTAGTCCCAGCTACTTGGGAGGCTGAGGCAGGAGAATTGCTTGAACTCAGGAGGCAGAGGTTGCGGTGAGCCGAGATCACACCATTGCACTCCAGCCTGGGTAACAAGAGCGAAACTCCATCTCAAAAATAAATAAATAAATAAATAAAGTGATTCATCTCATATTGTCACTTAGAACTGAATTCTGTCCATATTTTTCATTTGGAAAGGAGCTAACTACCCAAATCTTGTAAGTATTTATAACATCTTGTCAGCTAAAATTAATGTATGTTAGAATCTTTCAGCACCCTCATCTAATCCATTTTAAGTGATTTCACAACACATTATTCTGTATAACCTGTTTTTGTAAATAATTCATCAAAAATTATATACAAGTACTATTCAAATATATTAATAATAAAATGCAAATATTCCAATTGAGAGAATTGTACCACAAAATGGTTTTAGGTTAGATTTATAAGAATTGTCTTCCTGCATGATCTTTTACATTAAAATGAACTGTTTCTACACCAAGATTATTATTTGCTTTTGATATTAGTCTTTCATATTTTAGCAGCATATCTAATTTTTCGAATGAAATTTAATTTGGAACCCATACAACACCAGAGTGTTAGAGCTGAGGAAGAGGCTCCAGATGGTCTTCTGCACAGTGGTTCAGAGTTTTCATCAAGAAAGCTTTCTTTTTTTTGAGACAGAGTTTTGCTCTTGTTACCCAGGCTGGAGTGCAATGGCGCGATCTCGGCTCACCGCAACCTCCGCCTCCTGGGTTCAGGCAATTCTCCTGCCTCAGCCTCCTGAGTAGCTGGGATTACAGGCACGCGCCACCATGCCCAGCTAATTTTTTGTATTTTTAGTAGAGACGGGGTTTCACCATGTTGACCAAGATGGTCTTGATCTCTTGACCTTGTGATCCACCCGCCTCGGCCTCCCAAAGTGCTGGGATTACAGGCGTGAGCCACTGCGCCCGGCAAGAAAGCTTTTTAATGCAAGCTGTTCTTCTAGGACGTTAGTGCTGACAGTGCGGGTGGGAGATGGGAGGGACAAACAACAGGTAGAGCAGCTATGCAAATGAGCAAAATCATGTGCTTTGCTGCAATGTGGATGCAGCTGGAGGCCATTATCTCAAGTGAATTCATGCAGGTACAGAAAGCCAAATACCGCATGTTCTCACTTAAGTAGAAGCTAAACATTGGGTACACATAAACACAAAGATGGCAGCAATAGATGCTGGGAGCTACTAGACGACGAAGGGGATAAGGGCCGAAAAACTACCTATTGGATACTGTGCTCACTGTCTGCATGACAGGATCATTTGTACCCCAGACCACAGCATCACACATACACCCATGTAACAAATCTGCACACATACCCTCTGAATCTAAAATAAAAGTTGGAATCATACAAAATAAATGAAGTGAAATCATAAATGAAAGAGGAGACATTACAACTCATGCTACAGAAATAAAAAGGTTCATAAAAGACTACTTATAAGAAAGTATATGCCAACAAAGTGTGTAACCTAGAAGAAATGAATAAATTATTAGAATCATAGTCTACCAAGACTGAATCATAAAGAAATAGGAAACAAACCTATCACTGGTGAAGGGATTGAACTGGTAATCAACAGCCTCTCAACACAGAAAAGCCCAAGACCAGTTAGTGAATTCTACCAAACATCTAAAGCACAGTTAATAACAGGCCTTCTGAAACTCATCCAAAAAATTGAAGACAGTACAATTCCCAGAATGAACTCCATTGTAAACTAGGATTTGGGCAAATATGATATGTCAGTGTATTTTTATCAGATGTTACAATTTACCACCCAAGATATTAATGGAGGAAGCTATGCATGTTTTGGGGTAGGTGTTATATAGAAAATCCTTAATCTTCCCCTTAATTTTGCTGTGAACCTGAAATGACTGTAAAAAACAGTCTTAAAAAAAAACACACAGAATGCCTAAAGGCAGGTAGACCAGTTTAGAGATAGTTGCAGTAGGCTAGGTGTGAAGTGTTGAGGGTTAGCTTAGACTGGTAAGTGTTGTTTAAAAAAAAAAAATCACGCATATGTGATGACTAATAAAAGGGTACAGGGAAGAAGAAATAGATAAGGATAATGGAAGTTTTGAAATCATGGGAGTTTTGAAACTGGATGACTTTGCAGAATGTTAGTATTTATGAGAGAGACTGAGAACACGACTGTCAGCATGTAAATTAATTTCCAGCTTGGTTTCTCGAGAGTTCATTTAAGGTATATTGCTTGAATCATGCAATTCTGTAGAAACGGCGTAATACAAGGGGCTAAGTTCATGGACTAGCCTGCGAAGGATTACCTGATACAAGATAAGTTTGAAATGATCATGATGGTGTTAGGTTCATTTCTGAATTTTGGATACTGGGAGTCGACGTCTGTGGTTTAGAAGTGAAAAGGAAGAGGCGGGAGAGTTAGGAAACATTCTGAAATAGGTGAAGAAATTTATCTTTGGTTTCCTTCCACCTTCTTTTTGCTGCCTTCCCTCTCAGGTGCTTGGTGCTCTCAGGTTGTCATAAATTCCCAGGGTGGGACTAACAGAAAGCAGAATGTCTTGCTTCCTCAGAGACAGCATACAGCGGTTCATGGACTGCTGCTTTTGATTTAAAAACAGCACACAGCATTTTAAAACACAAATCAGGCTGGGTGCAGTGGCTTACATCTGTTATTCCAGCACTTTGAGAGGCTGAGGTGGGAAGATCGCTTAAGCTCATGAGTTCAAGATCAGCTTGGGCAACATGGCAAAACCCTTGTCTACAAAAAGTTTTTAAAAAAATGAGCCAGGCGTGGTGGTGTGCACCTATGGCCTCAGCTACTCAGGGGTTGAGGTGGGAGGATCATTGAGCCCAGGAGGTGGAGGTTGCACTGAGCTGAGATGTACTGCACTCCAGCCTGGGCTACAGAGCCAGACCACGTCTCAAAAAAGCCCCGAGGACTACAGATCAGACTTCATAAGTGTCTGAATTGTTAGTTCTTTTGAAGACAGTTATCTAGATTGGGTTTAAATGGGGCAAACACTCCCTATTGGCAACAATGTCTACCATCCTTTTCATGCTGCTAAAGCTTTGTGTCATTTGCCATCATCACCAGGCTGAAGCCATGTTTTAATAGTTAAGGAGAGGGTAAACTGTTTCTCATGCCTTGTCGAAAGGGGCTTTTGTTTCAAGAAATGTCTGACAACACGCAACTAACAGCTGCATTCAAAAAGTGTACCTTTGCCTGTTTTCTCTGCCAGGGCCTCAAGGCACCAGAGTTGTAACCTGGCATACTCCTTCCCCTGTGATGATTAGGCCCCTTGATAGTGATAAGTGGGGACCAAAACTATAGTCATGGACAGTGTGGGAGCCATTTATTTAGAATTAATCCAATGACTGAAACTAGCTTGTACCGCTAGCTGGCAAGAGTCCTTGGAGTGCAGCTGGGTGATCTAAATCCATTTTGGTCCCTGATGGTGGTGATTGCCCATTCTAGTTTAAATCTCCATGGGAATAATTCTGGGTTCTGACTGGTTGGTTCCTTTTTGTTGCCACAGTCTGGGGAGATTAGACTGCCAGAATACTGGGAACATGCAGATTGATATTTAACCTCCCTGTAGCTTTCCAAGACAGGGCTACCTGTCAGTGTTTTCTCCTCTTAAGACCATGTTAAGCATTGTCATGGTATCACCCATTGCTTTGTGATTCTGTGCCAGGAAGAGATTACTATGAACTTGTGAATAACAGACCTGGACTTGTACAGTGTTTGGACTTAGAGTAGATCCCAAAGTTGTTTGCTGATAAAGCACAGCCTGTGTTCTGGATATCACAGTTGTCTAGTTAGTAATGGGTTTGAGGGAACTTAACCTCCCCTTAAAACTTCTTTGGGGGCAGAAATGGACTAGCGGACATTTAATCGTAAGTCTGCTGCTTTTAGGCAGATTGAGAGGGCAGGTACCATTTATTCTGTCACAGGAACAGAAGGCTGCTCAATGTGGGGAAGTTCTTGAAAGGATTTCGCCAATTTGATACTCTCTTCCCTTGATGTTGCATTTTATTGAACTTTTGGGAGAGCAGATACCTTACTGCGACTTAGTAAATGTTGTTGCCATATGTCACAGATTAATCCCATCTTTATTTTCTGGAGAAAGGGAATAAAGTCACGAATAGCACAGCAATTGTTAGGAGGCTCTTAAGGGGTGTTTGATCAAGGGTCTTTCAGAGTGATTACCTGGGCAGTTAGGCCTGTCTACAGTGATCTCTCTGTAGTCCATCAGTTCAGACTAGATCTGAACCATCTTGACTTTGGAATGCACCGTCCCCAGATGGTTGCAACTAGTTTGTTGGGGTGAAATGAAGCAGAGTCTTGGCATTTATTTATATTGTTTTCAATCTGTCAGAGCTGCCTGTAGTTAAATAGACATGATAATAAAGTTTTTTAAAAGAGTCTCTATATAAAACTACTGAGTATCCTTACATTTCTTTTAGTAGTTCTTGGTTAGTAGAGAAATTACTGGTGCCCAAATCTCATGGTCTTTAATGTTTTACATACTAACACATACTTCACAATATTAAATTACATTAGACCACAGGAAAACATATTTACTTTTCTCATTAGTGAAACGGATAGAATTATGTGGCTTTCAAGTGGTTTGCAAAAATGCCTCTAGGAAAGTAGAGAGGTAATATTGTCTAGTAATTAAAAATTATTTTTTCTTTGGCTTTTTAAAAGTAATGTGGTGACTTTATTTAGAGATTTACTTCTAAGTTGCACAAATAAAACAGTAACTGTTCTTATTGTTTTCAGGCTGGATCTTACAGAGAAAGAGTATGAAATACTTTTCAAATCTATTAATGGGTAAGTTGGCAGCACTGGTTTGACACAGTGTATGAGTGGTCTACATATATGTCTGCTTTTGTAAAAGAAACCATATAAATATTATACACATTTCTATGTAACTGTCTTAGAGTGGTATAACATTAGTTTTCTGAGTTCTTTTATAGGATAGATTTTCTTGAGAGATGTGAAAATCCTTCAAAAGAGGAAGAGGCAGGTTAGGAAATGTATAATTGTTACATGGTAGACACATACAGTTTTTTTAATGGGTGACATATATCTTCATTCTTTTAATGCTCATCTTAAATGTTTTCAAGCTACCTTGAGTGGTATGCATACTGCTTGCGTATTAAGTCCGAAAGTCTGAGGATGTTGATTTTTTTTCATGTAAATTGAAAAAAAAAATGTTGTATCCTCTCGCTTCACCATAAAAGATATGTTAGCTCTCAGAAAACAAAAAAATGAAAAAATTGTTTGCCGTTACCATTACTCTTAATTTTAGGAAAGAAGGCTAATTACAGCAATCCAAAACATTTAATTACCAAGTTGGCAGAGGTCAGAAAATTTGCTTATACTCTTAAAGCAGGCATCCCCAAACTATGGCCCGCGGGCCGCATGTGGCCCCCTGAGGCCATTTATCCGGCCCCCTGCCGCACTTCAGGAAGGGACACTTCTTTCATTGGTGGTCAGTGAGAGGAGCACAGTATGTGGCGGCCCTCCAATGGTCTGAGGGACAGTGAACTGGCCCCCTATGTAAAAAGTTTGGGGACGCCTGCTCTAAAGGGCCTGTGAGGAAACAAGTATGCTCATAATTCATTAGAGGAAATGTAAATCATGTAGTCTTTTGGGCGGGCAATATTGCAATACCTATTGAAATTAGAAGCACATATAGTCTTTGACCTGGGAAATTGAGGAGGAATTTTATTTTATAAATATATTTCCACCTTGCATGAAGACTTAGACCCAAATAAATGCGCTGTATTGGTAATATTGTCTGACAGTCACACAGTAGTCCATCAGGTGGGAGTTGGTTAAATAAAACAGACTATGTACATCTACTAGAATACGATACAGGAATAAAAAAATGAAGCTATCTATAGATGCTGACTTGGATCACCGTTGTTCTATGAACAGTGCGATAGTGTTACTTGAAAAAGGCAAGATGTGTAATGGTGTGTATAGCATACACCCTGTTTGCTTTTTGTTAAAGGTAGAGGTGAGGAGATAACGCATATTTCTATCAAATCAACACAACAGATTTTAATGGCAGTAGTTTCTGATTGGGAGTAGAGTGGGAAGAAGTATTTTACTGTAAAACATTTTTAAAAAAGAGCTTTATTATTATTTTCACTTCTAAACCTATGCTAATTTATTGTTTCTTATAAAAAGCCATGTTTAGAAAATTATTTACCTTCCATTTGGTTCAGTAAATATTTCCCATAAAATCAGTTCAATTTAGTAAAACATTTACAATGCCCAGTACGTGCTGTGTGCAAGGTACTTTGGCATGGACAAAGAGCATTAAGTCCAGGCTAGAATATAATAGTAGAATCTTGAATATAGGCTTTTTGAATCACTTCATTTCCTTTCCACCCCCTCCCCAGTTGCATTCCTGTTTGGAAAGGAATCTGAAATGAAGTAGCAGTGTAGATAGGTGTACATACTTATGGGAGCTAGCCTGTCCAGATGCTCAGTGTATCTTCATGCAAACCAGCAAAAGGAGTCCATTTTCTATCTTCTTCTCCTGTTTTCTGCATTGTCTCTAATTCTCACTCCTGTAGGCTGTTTCTCTCTCATGTGGTCGCTGAAAGCTCACTCCAAAGTGGGGTAAATTGGGAACCTTATTTATATCTCTGAGTGTCACCAGAAAATGAGCAGTATTCTATTGAATCTCTTTTATGCAGTGGACCCCATAGTATTTTGCAGGGGAATACAGAGATGAACAGAAAGAGCCATGCTTTTAAGGAGTTTGTCATATAGGAGGAACAGTCAGGTTTAGCTACATGAAAGGACTTTGGGGTTAGACATACCAGATTTGGTCAGAGGCAGCTTTTTAAATACTAAGTTAATGTCTGCAAGCTGGAGACCTGGGATGCAAAACATAAAAATTAAAAAAAAAAAAAAAATTGAGTCAGTGGAAAGAGAGAACTGCTAATGAGTCTTCACTAAGCCACTTTGGATTGTGGGAGCTTTTGCTTGGTTTTGTGGCAGATGTTCTCCCACACAGATGTTTATATGTTTTCTGCCAGACTGTTCTTCCTAACAGCAAAAAGCACTCATGTTTGTCTTTCCAGGCTAGCCCTGAGCCTGGCACATGGAAGAAACAGAATATACTTCTTGAATAACAACAGTCTCACAAGTGATATTTCACATATCTCAAACTCATATTTAAATGTTTTCAAAATTTTAGTATGTTTAATTGTTTAATCTCATTTTTGTTACCTCTTTTGAATATTGTTGGTTCTTTTAAGACCTTGCTATAAATTTTAAATTTAAAGTTTAATTTTAAAAGTTGGCATAAAAACATGGTAAAATATTTTTCTATATTTTACCTTTATGAATAGGTAAAATAATATCAAATATTTATGACTGCCTTCTTTTCTTAGACTTTTTCTAGAATCATAATTATGTTTCTTGAAAAAAGTGTTCTGATACTGTGCTTATATCTGAAGAGGCCTAGGGTGATAATAATTAAATGCTTGCAGATATTTAATTCTAGCTTAAATATATTTTTATGACCAGCTTGTTCTTTACAGTTAAAATAAATTATTTGTGAACTAAAACCTAACCACAAGTATGGACCTGCAATTGATTTGGGATCACTGATCATCTTCATTTAAACCTGGCTATATGTGGAATTTTGTCTGTCTTTGATTTCTAGCTCTGTGTACTCTTGCCTCTCTCCTAGTTATATACTTTTAGTTCTTCCACACTCTATTTCATTAAATAAATGTATTGAAGAAGTATTGGGAAAATATGCACTAAAGTGCTATCGTTTCTGAATGGCTACAATTGTAAATACTTTATATTTTCTTTTTTGCTTTACTTTTCTAATTTTCTTCAAGGATCTTACGCTTATATAATAAGAAAAATTGTTTTAAAATAAAAAGATTGTTTTCTGTGTGCGTATGGGTTGGAGGTGGCAAAATAGACCCTATTTGATTTATGCGACATTGTTTCAGAGTCCTTTTCCCCGGAGGAAGTGTGGACCTCGAGCGCTCAGATTATGCTGAGGTAGCCAAAATATTTTACAACTTCTCCATACAGGTAAATATCAGTTATTGATTATTATTCCAGATGGGTTTTTGTAAGTTTCTGTGAGAATAGTTCATTTTTTAACAGATGGTAATGCTTCCTTCACAATTACCCTTGGCCTCATCACACCTTTCACCTAGAGGCACCTGTTCTTGGCTGTTCCTGCCTGTTTTCCATGTGCTTCATCTAATCCTGGGCTTCCAGAGACTCTCAGAGCCCTGCTGACTGGCCCTCTCTTGTGCTTGTTAATATGAATCATGTCCTCATGTGGTGTAGTCATTCTGATGTCTCTCTCTGTCCTCTTTTTATTTTCATTTTTATTTTTTTATGGGCATTGTTTCTATGTTGTTAATTCTCACTGCTTGTTGAAATCTGTTCTTTCCAACTCATTCAATCCTATTTGACCTTTCTTCACAGTTACCGTAGACTCCATGTTAATTTACCAAGCAGAACCTCTGAGCCTCTGACTTCTCCTTTGCGGTGTTCACACTGGGACTGCCTTTGTACCATAGCTCAGACCCTTACTGTTTCTCTCCTCAACTATTAACAGTGATTTTTAAATTAATCTTGCTGGCCCTAGTATCTTACCAATCCCCCCTTAAACCTTTCCCTAAATAGCCATCTTTAGCCTTTGAAATACTTGTTTCAAACTTTTAGTAGCTAAGCTCAATCATCTTTAGGCTTTTATGGTCTTTCGGCCAAGATATAGTGTGTCCACAGCTCATGGTTTCCACCCTGTGTGGGAGTTTGGTCTGAAGAGAGATTAAGTGATAGTTTACTTATGGATCCTGGGGAATTCTTCAGAAATCCATGGGTAACTCAGGTACCTGTTCAGTAATGACAAAAGATATGGCTAATTTTTATTTTGAGAAGATTGAATAAACTTAGTTTTCTCTTCTCCATTTGCGAAGGGTTTTGATGCTGGAGACTATTTTCCAGTGTGGGGCACATGCCTAGGATTTGAAGAACTTTCAGTACTGGTTAGTGGAGAGTACTTATTAACTGTCACAGATACTGTTGACGTGGCAATGCCGCTGAACTTCACTGGAGGTAAGAGTACTCTTTTCAACCCTCTAAAAAATATGTGCTGGGCAGGATTAGTAAGTAGCAAATGTGAAGGAAAGTGCTTATTTTTATTTTCTTTTTAGCCTTTTCCCTGAAGAAAAAAATGCTTATAATCTTAGCATTTAAATTATTGACACAGGTGGAAAATGTGAATGACAATCCTTGAACTCATTTATGCGGATGACTTAGGGAATTGTGAATTTTAATAACTCATTGCTTTTAGTGATATCAGGACTATGTGTCCTGATTAAGAGGTCAGATTAAGAACTCTGAAATTGGATCTGGTTTTGAGTCCTAGCTTTCTCACTTTGACCTTGAGGAATCATTTTACGTCTCTGAGGTTCAGTGTCCTCATTTGCAAAAGGATCTAACCAACCCTTTGGGTTTTTTTGAGAGAATTAAATAAGATGATGTTTTCTAGTCCCTGTGCTAAGTACTGTATATATATATATAATTAATATATAAAGTTAACATATCATATATATGTATATATACATATATATGTGTGTATATATATATATAATTAATATATAAAGTTAACATGTCATCCAGAGTGGAGTGTCATGGCATGATCTCTGCTCACTGCAACCTCCAGCTCCAGGGCTTAAGAAATTCACATGAGCATACCTCAGCCTCCTGAGTAGCTGGGACTACAGGAGTGCCATCACACTTGGCTGATTTTTGTATTTTAGTAGAGACAAGGTTTTACCATGTTGACCAGGTTGGTCTCAAACTGCTGACCTCAGATCTGCCTACCTCGGCCTCCCACAGTGCTGAGATTACAGGCTTGGGCCACTGGAAAGTGTTGTATTTACCCAGCAATCAGGAACTCCAGTGAGTTTTGGTGTCCAGAGTTTTTATTGGAGCATTACTATGAACGTATAATTGATTGAGTCATTGGCTATGTGATTGAACTCAATCTGTAGCCCGTCTTTCATTCATGGAGATTGGTTGGGCTGGCTCAAAGTTTCAACCTTCTAATCATGAAGTTAGTTTTTCTGATGATTAGTCCTCATCCTGAAATAATTGAGGGACCCACCTTGAATTACCACATTAGCATACCAAAAATACTTTTATCATTCTGGGAATTCCAAGGGTTTTAGAAGCTTCCCATCAGGAACCCAGGACAAAGACCAGGAAGATTCTTGATGATACGACTCTAACTAGATAATGATTGTTGTATGTTACTTGATCTCTGCTCAGACTTGAAGCCACTAGCTGTTTCTATTCTCATAAGGATTTTGCAAGGAAAGTAGTAGTCATACATAAAACTTACAGAATGCTTTATGCTTTTGAAGGCTCTTTCTTCCATTGTCTCACTTAATCATTGCAAAAACCTGTGGGAAGTACATGTATTAGGTCAGAGTACTTTGGCTGTGTGTTGCCAGAACCCAGTTTATACAAAAAGGCATGTTTCAAGGTTCTGCGGTTGTATGGAAGTCTCTAGCAAGAATAAGGGGTCTGGTTTGAAACAGCTGGTACTATCCCTTGAAAACATCAGTTTCTTTTTTCAAAATCTGTTTGCTGGTGTTTGAGTCTGTGCATCTGACAATAGAGCCTTCCGAGTTGACCACTAAGATACTGCTTTTTGATTTGTTTACTGAGGGCTTGGTTATGTTCTTTTCTACATTGTTGGTATTTTTACTTGTTTGTCTCAGATATGTTGAAAGTTTTGGATCCTTTCCTGGGCAAATAAGTACACTCATGGAAAATTTTACCTTTCTCAAAATTGTCTGTGGAACTCTAGTTAAGATTCTCTGCCTGTTCTATAGCTAGCTTGCCAGTACTCATGTCAGAATAATTTTACTTATTTATGTGAAAATTCCAGAAGAAAGCTACTTATATCTGGAGCATATTTGAGTTTATGTTAAACACATTTGTGTGCTTGATTGGAATATTTCTATGGAAATGATGTGTTTTGCTTATCCTTTAGTCATCTTGATTATGGTCTTTATAATGGCTTCTCTTTGGGTGCAGATAAGTGACTTCAGTGGATTTTACTTTTTGGTTTGAATTATTTCTCTTGTACTTAAATTATTTCAGGTCACTTGCAGAGCAGAATGTTCCAGAATTTTCCTGCTGACTTGTTGCTGTCATTAGCAGCAGAGCCTCTGACTGCCAATTACCATAAGTGGAGCCTCTCCATGAAGGTATCACACTAATTATACAACGAAATTAATACGTTTAGACTAACTGCCAAAGTAATTATTTTATTTTCATACTCTAGAATTTTACGAAGAATGAAAATTTAAAGAAATTTTTCAATGTCTTAACTACAAATACAGATGGCGACATTGAGTTTATTTCAACAATGGAAGGTAATCATCATCGCATGTATCCTTCATTTGACTTACTAATTTTATATTTTTAAATTTTGATTTTATATGTCACTTACGGATAAAATCATGTGACTTCGGGGCCTGAAGATGGAAGTTAGGGCATTTTGGGAGACAGGAGACATGTTTTGTCCATGTTTCAAATTAATTGCAGTTTTCCTGGGTATTTTCTTGAATGGGGTGGTGAAGAAGAAACATAAAAGAAAAAAGGGTGCGGGGATAAAGAAAGAAATGAAGAAAATGACTTCTGTTTCCAGCAATATTGCAGATGAAATACCTTGATAGGCTGTCCTCTAGCCAACAACAAAGCAAATGTGGGTGATATAGAAAAATGTATTAAATATGTTGATGAAGTAGCAAGGAAATAAACATACTCAGGTCCAAAATTTTAAGGGTTGAGTTGAATATTTAAACCAGTATTGTTATTGAATCAGGAGCACTTGAGACAATGTCAGGACCCTCTATATAAATAGTATCTCATGGAGCAGGACCTGGAAAACTATGCCTGCAATATAAGGATGAACTCAAAATATTCCTAGAATCCTGCCTACAGAATTGCGAGGAAAATTGCCCATCCTGAGTCTTGGCAGTAAGGGAGTGGGTTGGGGCAGTGAATACAGCTAGGAGTGTTCATAATGATGGGCTGTTCTCCTAGTATGGCCAGCATTATACTAACTGGGAAGCTGGACAAATCTTAAGGCAAGAATTTCGTATAAGGTTGTCTCAGACTGGTAATGGCCTTACTTGTGAGGCTGAAGCAAATATAAATAATTATCTTAAGAGGACCAGACGTTCATCCCAGGCTTCAAGGAATTTCCATATTTGAAGTTGGAAGGAATATGAGCACTTCATAGCCAAAATACTACTAATGTACAATCAAGCAATGTACTATGAGTGAGAACTTGCAGAAATAACAGATGTGGAAGTAGACCTGCACAAATGTTAGATATTGGTATTATGAGATAAAGTATGATATATTTTAAGTTTTAAATAAGAATGCTTGAAAATATAGGCATGAAACAATCAGATTTGAAAAAAACAAATTTAACTATTAGAAATTAAAATTGAGGCCAGGTGTGGTGCCTCAAGCCTGTAATCACAGCACTTTGGGAGGCCGAGGCAGATCACCTGAAATCAGAAGTTCAAGACCAACCTGGTCAACATGGTGAAACCCTGTCTCTACTAAAAATAAAAAATAAATAAATTAATTAAAAAGCTGGGTATGAAAAAAATAAATAAATAAAAAATAAAAGCTGGGTATGGTGGTGCATGCCTGTAGTCCCGGCTACTTGGAGGTTTCATTGAGCTGAGATTGTGCCACTGCACTGCAGCCTGGATGACAGAGCGAGACTCTGTTTCAAAAAAACAAAAAGAAATTATGATTGAATTAATCAAAAGATTAGACATAGTTGAGGAGAGATTAATGAACTAGAATAGAAAATAGATGTGAAGGAAGCATTCAGAATCCAATGTCCATCCAGACATGTAAATGTAAATGTCAAATGTGTTGGAATAAAGGTTAGAATCTGGAGGGTAAAGTGATTTTGAAGGAATGGGAAAAAGTAGGACAGAGACAGACTCTTTTTCCATATTAAAAAAAAAATTCAGGTGGATAAAAGACCTAAGGAGAAAGGCATACTACAATGGTTTTAGAAGAAATAAAGGAGAATGTCTTTATGATCTTGTTTAAGGGAAGGAGCAACAAAGTAGAAACAAACCATAAAGGAAAAGTTTGATGAATTCAATGAAATGAAGAAGTTGTGTACATGAAAAAAAAATTACATGGAGAAAAAAAGGAAATATTTGCAATACACATAATTGACAAAGGATATGTTTCCAACTTACATAAAGTAAAACTATGATTTAAGAAGAAAAGATAGATTATTAAAAATGGATCCATGGACCGGGTGTGGTGGCTGACACCTGTATCCCAGCACTTTCGGAGGCCGAGGTGGGCAGATCACTTGAGGTCAGGAGTTGGAGCCCAGCCTGGACAACATGGTGAAACCCCATCTCTACTAAAAATACAAAATGTAGCCAGGCGTGGTGGTGCATGCCTGTAATCCCAGCTACTCTGGAGGCTGAGGCAGGAGAATTGCGTGAACCCAGGGGATGGAGGTTTCAGTGGGCCGATACCACACCACTGCACTCCAGCCTCAGCGACAGAGCAAGACTCCACACGCACGCAAACACACACACACACACACACGCACGCACGCACGATATGAGATTTGAATAGGTACCATACAAAAGAAACTTGATTGTCCTGTCCACTTACGGGTTGGTGAAATAAGTTGCTCAGTGTAATTACTGATCAGGGAATGCAAATGGAAACCAAAGTAAAAAACATTTTATACCCATCAGATTGGCAAATTTAAGAAGTCTGCTGATAACTAGTGTCACCCAGGATGTGGCACGGCGGGTGCTCTCATGCACTGATGATTGGAAAACATTTTGGCATTTCTTAATGAAATCAAACATTTTCCAGTTTTGTTACTTGGCAATTTTATTCATTGGTTAAAAAAATACCTTAATGAAATAATTTCATGTACATAGAAATGTACGTGACATTATGTTCATACAAGCAAAAAAAATGAGAAACGACCCAGAAGTCCAACAGTGCAAGGATAAGTAATACTATTAAAATGAGTGAGCATACTTGCATGTACAAACGAATGAATCATGAAGACAGTTTTGAGTTAAAGAAGCAGGTCACAAGGGAATATATGCTGTATGTTCTCATTTATATGATGATTAAAATTTGGCAAAAAAGAAACAACGTATTGTTTAGTGGTAAATCTAAGGAAAGGATGGGGTGATGAACAATTATGAGAGTCATTCTCACTGGGCTGAAGGTTTGGGAGGGACTGTGGAAGGGCTTTGGAAGTATTAGTCATGTTTCTTCCTCCCAATCCAGTGTACTTCGCTACATGAGCAGCATTAACCATCAGCCAAAAACCCATCTTCCAGCCAGCCGCTCGTGATCACTGAAGTACCAGTCTGATGGTAGTGCTTGAACAGAACTCCTCAGTAGCTCTTCTGCATCGGAGGATGAAGTCTAGATTTCCCAGCTCATTTCCTCCATGCCCTCTCCCTGCCTTCACCTCTGGCTGGTGCCCTGCACTGCCTGTCGGGTACACACAGCCCTGCCACAGAGCCATGCTTCTCGTCTCTGCACTGCTTCTCTTGTGCTTTCCTCTTCTCTGAAAAGCTCCCCCTTTCTCCTATTCCTTTCTCCTGATGAACTCATAGCCATCTTGAAAAACCCAGGCCACCTGCCATCCCTAGAGGCCTCCTCTACCATTACTCCTCCTCTCCACACTCTTGGTGCTTTGTACTACGTGGGAATGTTTCTTAATGCATGAATTTGCTCGTGTTCTGTCAACCCTCTAGACTAAGAGCTCCTGGAGATCGGCAACTGCGTCTTAATTCTTCTTTGTGTTTCCAGGGCTTTATGTAACCCTCATAGATGTTGAATGAATGCCTAATTATTTACATGAAAGAACATTGAGTTGGAAGTTGGGGAATCAGGTTCCATGTTCTGCTTTTCACTGGGCCATCCCAGGATCGTTTGAAAATGTTCTCATACCTCCAAGATAGGAACACTGGAGATGCTTTATTATTTGCATATTTTCTTTCCACTTTTGATACTTTTGTTCTAAATCAGTGAGGCAGGACGTGATTCCTAGTTTTCAGGAAACTGCACTGGTCTTTTAGTAATGCAGTTTACTAAAGAAGGGTAGATCTCACTCACTACTGAATGTCAGTGACTTCAAGAAGTTTGTGGGAAAATGGAATTAAAATATGAAAATAAAAACTATAAAGTTTATTTCTTAAAGTAAGTTCTGTCAAGCTCAAGACACTTTTGCCCATGATGATACCAGCCTTTCAGTCCATCCCTAAAGAACTGATGGTCCTGTGGGTCTAACCATGTCAAATGCAGTCTTTTTTATTAACAGAAATGAGTGCCCTACAAAGATTTTTTAAGATTAGGAAATAAGAAGTCAGGAGGAGCCAAATCAGGACCATAAGGTCTTAATGGTTTCCCATCAAAACGCCCACTAAATAGCCACTGTTGGATGAAAGGAATGAGCAGGAACATTGTCATGGTGGAGAAGGAGTCTGGTGAAGCTTTCTTGGGAGTTTATCTGCTAAAGCTTTGTCTGACTTTCTAAAAACACATAAAAAGCAAATGTTACTGTTCTTTGGTTCTCCAGAAAATCAACAAGCATAATGCTTTGGGGCACCAAAAACCATCATGACCTTTGCTCTTGACCAGTCCACTTTGGCTTTGAGTGGACCACTTTCACCTTTCGGTAGCCATTGCTTTGATTGTGTTTTCAGGTTCATACTGATAAAGCCATGTTTTTTCTGCAGTGACAGTTCTTCAAAGTAATGCTGTAGGATCTTGACCTCACCTGTTACAAATGTGCATTGAAAGCTCTGCTTTTGTGTGCAGCTGATCTGGGTGCAATGGTTTTGGCATCCATCGAGCGGAAAGTTTGCTCAACTTTAATTTTTCAGTTAGGATTGTGTAAGTTGAGATGTTCATAGTGTTGGCTATTGGTTCTGCTGTTTATTGTCGGTCTTCTTCAATTAGGACAGGAACAAGATACATATTTTCCTGGCAAATGGATGTGAATAATCTGACCCAAGGGCTTCAACGTTGTCTTACTCCATCTCAAAATGAGTTATCCATTTGTAAACTGCTGACTTCTTTGGGGCATTATCCCCATAAACTTTTCAAAAAGCGTCAGTGATTTCACCATTCCTCCATCCACGTGTCACCTTAAATTTGCTGTTTGTTGTGTCTTCAATTTCAGCAAAATTCATATTGCTCTTACAGGGGTTCTTTTCAAACTGATGTCTTATCCTTCTTAGTGCCTCATACTCAATCCTGTTCATACAAGTTAGTACAATTTTATTTTGGTGCAAAAAAATTTTGAAATCTCTGCATAATACACATTTTCCATGAGCTTTTTGAAGACTTCTCATATATTTGTGTGTGTGTGTGTGTGTGTGTGTGTGTGTGTGTGTGTGTGTGTGTACATCTCTCTTTCTGTCTCTGAGTCTCTTAGATATAAACCGTTATTATGATTTGAGACATTTTTTGTTCTCAATGCTTTTCATGCATTGGACAAATATACTACAAGATCTGCCTTTCAGTTAACTGGGTGTAACAGTTAATTTCCTGGTCCCCCAGCCTGTGGGTCTCTTTCTCCTAGCTTCACATGTAGTCCCAGAACAGAGAGAAAGACAGGGCAGTGTCACAGGGAAGTGGGGGAGGCAGGGAGCTGAGTGCCTGGAGTTGCATGAGGCAGGTGTTTCTTCTCGTGAACACCCACAAAGCTGGGATAAAATGTTTCCCTTCTGTGGCCTGCTTTTTAGTCGAAAGCTTGCTGAGATGAGAATGGTCAGTGCTTATACCCCTACATATCTCTTATTCCGTTAGTTCTCTTCATTTCTCCAAGTACTTTCTGGTGGTATTCGTGGTTACAATTCTAAAGCAAAAAATAACAGAGGGGAGATTTTATTTTGTTTTTTTCAAATGAAAATGAGGAAAGGCGTGTCTGAAAAAGAGAGAAATACATGCATTTTTCTGAAGGTAACTATTATACATAGTCACTTTTTTTTTGAATTGTGGAATTGTTCATGTGTATGTAAAAGTAGAGTAATACGACCCCTGGGTGTCTATGTATCACCTTCAACAATTATCAACAGTTCTGTGTCCCTTCTTTCATGTCTACTTTTAAACTTTTTAAAAGTATTTAAAAAATTTATACCACAAAGTCATCAGTCATTCCATAGACCGATAGAGAGACACAGTTTAGGCTGGGACAGACTGGCTTGTGTGGAAGGACACCAGAAGGGCCGCCATAGTTCATAGTTCATTCTCATATGAATAAGTCATTATGGGAGGAGGGGGCCCTCCCGTAAGAGGCCCATTGTGGAAGAAACTTGTATCACCAATAAAATGTACACCTGACTTTTGGACAGGGATAGATTCCTCAGCTCAGCTTTTACTGTGCTATGAGTATCTCAAAAGCAAATTGTACTACAGATTGTAAAAGGTTGCTAATCAGTGAAATGTGTTACTGGGAATTTTCACATTGAATGTGAGTGGATATTATTTTGTGTCTGAGAGAATATGTACAATTTTACGTTGTCTTCTGTTGTGAGTTACAAAATGTTTTACATAAGACATAAACCAATTTCATCGTAAGTCACATCTTAAACCATTCTTAGTACTTACTGATTTGCGTTCTTCCCACAGGATATAAATATCCGGTGTATGGAGTCCAGTGGCATCCAGAGAAAGCACCTTATGAGTGGAAGAAATTGGATGGCATTTCCCACGCACCTGAAGCTGTGAAAACTGCATTTTATTTAGCAGAGTTCTTTGTTAATGAAGGTAATATGAGGGTACATAATTTTGTCATTCTGGGGTAGTTTTGAAGGAAATTGCCCTCATCTGAACTTTTGCCTTCCTTTTTGCTGTGTAAATGTTTTGTAGGTGCTGTAGGTTTACCTTAAAGAAAATAAAAATGTTAAGTAATGTGGAAGTCCTGAACTTGAGTTATTAGGTATTGAGGTATTAGGTGTTCTCATGAAACCAGGACAGTTACTTCAATTAACAGCATCATACATGCTTGAGTGGGCAGAATTCTTGAACAACAGTATGAAGAATATCGAGGGTTTTTTTTATTTCTTTCTTTTTCTTTGGTGTTTTTGTTTTGTTTTGTTTTTTGACAGGGTCTTGCTCTGTCGCTCAGGCTGGAAGGCAGTGGTGTGATCACAGCTTATCGCAGCCTCCAAATCCTGGGCTCAGGGGATCCTTCTGCCTTAGCATCCTGAGTAGCGAGACTACCGGTGCACACTACCACACCTAGCTCTTTCTTCCTGGATACTTTTTATTTAGATTTCCCCCCTTATTCTCCATTTTTTAGAATAATGCTTTAATTATAACAGTCTCTGAGAATTAGATGTGACTTTTCCCAGACAAGGATACAGATGGAACATATGCCCACCAGGTCGTGATTTTAAGGCTACTTGTCTATAGGCATTAACATACTGGAGAAAGCTAATAAACTCTGCCTGCTTTTTGGTGATGAAAACACAGACATATTCATGCTGTGTTCTGTTTGTGGGCAAAATCGAGAATTTGGTTGTAGATGCTTCTTTCTTAGTTGAGCATTATAGGTCCAGTAAGTCTTAACGACTTTAAGCAAAACTTTGCTTCCCTCTTCCCTTCCCTCTTCCCTTCTGTTGCTCCTTCCCTTCCCCTCTCCCTTCCCTTCCCATTCCCTTCCCCTCCTTTCCCTTCCCTCTCCCTTCCCTTCCCATTCCCTTCCCTTCCCATCTCCCTTCCCTTCTGTCTTTCCTTTCCTTGCCATCTCTCCCTTCTTCTCTCCCTCTCATTCTTTTTTTGGAAAGCAAGTTTATTAGAAAAGTAAAGAAATAAGAAGGATGGCTACTCTGTAGGCAGAGCAGTTGTATTTTTCTTCCTGTTGGTATTTTCCCACTTAATAATACTGATTAGAGGGAAGAAATATTAAAAAGTAATCTCTTGAAGATTTTATTATCTGATCCTTTTAAAAATTAAATTTTTTTCTTGCAGCTCGGAAAAACAACCATCATTTTAGATCTGAATCTGAAGAGGAGAAGTCACTGATTTATCAGTTCAGTCCAATTTATACTGGAAATATTTCTTCATTTCAGCAATGTTACATATTTGATTGAAATTATTCAATTTGTTAACAGAGCAACTTTGAATAATTCCATGATTAAACTATTAGAATAACTTGCTACTCATGGCGAGATTGGGATGTCACCGAATCTTTTCTGTAATGTGACTGCCTTTGCTTCTTCATTCAGTATGTGACTGTTTATAATGTTTCATAACTAAACAGTGAGACATAAATAATCAGTGTTTTTCATGGAAAAGCTTTCTTATGTCTGAAAATTGGAAAAAAATAAATTTACTGAAATACAAATATTTTTTCTAATTGATTTGCTTTGGAAACAAATACCATCCCCTACCTACCCATCCCATCCTCCTGCTGAAAAAGAAAAGAATCTTAAAATCCTACCACTTGTTCATTGTGATGTCTCCCTCTTTTGGGTCTCAGGAGTGTGTGTGTGTGTATCTACTTTTCTGCCATGCTAACTTCACATTTAAAGTATACACATCCTGAAAGCAGAGTCTGTGTCTTGAACTTTTTATCTTTCACAATACTTAGCACAGTAGTCCCTCAGTAAGTAATTGCCACTACTTGTAAGTTTTTTCCCCTGTAAAATAATTAAAAAGCTGTCATACATTTATTTTGGTACGTTTTGATGTATTTTTCAATTTGTGCTACTCTCCTCCACCTCTGACCATCCCATGTGACCCTTAGAAGTGTGAAATTCACGGACCCCTTGAGGACAACCAAGCTGCTAGAAGAGAGAGGGTGTGCTAAGCTATGCCTAGTAAATGGTGTTTATGCATCTGTTCTCTCTGGGCTTCCAGAGCTGCTTCTAGAGCAGGAGAAAGAAACCGCAAGTGGGAATGATGTTGCAGGGCATCGTGGATGATTCCACATGCAACGAGAGGAACCATCACCTGCAGACACTGAGCTAAGCCATCATCTTCGGGCAGCGAGGGCAAACGGCACATAGAAAGTGGAAGAGATGAATACATTTAATTAACCAAGAAAGAATTTTACCAGAAATATGGCAGACTTCATTTTCTGTCTGTGAACATGCAAGTTCTTTGTTAAGTCTTATCGTTGAATGTGCCTGGCTAAGTTATCTCCCACCACTAGAAAATGGTAGCGACACTATTATTGCTTACAGTGCCAGGGTTCTTCCCAACCCATTTGTGTTGAAACCATGTGGATCTGCTTGTCTGCATTTCCCAAGAGCAACTTACCCTGACTGGTCACTCATGATGCTGCCCTTCTCCATCCTTCTGCCCTGCATGCTGCCTTCCAAAGATTCTTACGGGGCTTCACAGATGACGACCACAAATGCAGGAAAATGTTTCTGCTCATGTTCAGCTTGTTTTTCTCACGGTGTATTATTATTATTATTATTTTTTGAAGACCTTATTTGCTAGTATCACTTTATTCCGAGAATGGAATCTCTTTCAAAGCTGACACACCCTTGCCTTCTGCCCAGCACCACCAGCAGGAAAGGCAGGCCAGGGCGTGAGGGCAAGTGAGGAGAGCAGTGCTGTTCAGAAGCCAGGCATCACTACATCAGCAGGAGAGGACGTTGCTTAGAGGTGCCTGTTGAAGTTGCTGGGTAGCAGTCTGGAAAGCTCTGAGAGAGGGGCGGCCGCTCCTGGAGGACTGCCTGACACGTGGAGAGCCTTAGGAGGAGGGGAGGTCACAGCCCTCTTTGTCAGCAGGGGAGGGCAGAGGCTGAAAGAGTGACTGGGGGGAGCAGGTGTGGATTAGAACGAGGAATATGAAGAAAGAGCAGAATCAGGAAGGACTGGGTGGGTATAGAAGAGACAGCTAATGTGTACCCTTCCCCAGCCAAAGCTGACTGCGGTTTCCAAGGGTTTTTGGAGGGTGATTGCCAAAGTTCTTACCTCCGGCATTTCCAATTCTCTTGCCTGTATGGAATATCCCAAATGGAGTAGAAACACTGGGCTTCAAGGGCAGGCCCCGCTCTCATTTCTGTTGAGCCAGATGTTTCTGAGGGCCCACAACTTCACGTATCTTGAGGGCTGGCACAAGATACTTTATGAGGGGATGTTGTGTGTCTCCATTTCCACGTAGCAGAGTAGGGAAATCCTCAAAACCTTGTGAGTAGGCCGAATCTGTTGTTGCACAGATGGTCCTGTGAGACTCCTCACACCCGGGGGCCTGGCGCACAGAAGGACTGCATGCCCCTCCCACATCTTCCCTCCCTCCATGGCAATAATTAAGCAGCCCTACCTACGTGCTGGGTCTTTCCATTTTTATCCAATTGCAAGAAATATTTCAGAATTTTCTCCTATGGGAAGAATTAAGCAAAAAAGGTCTTTCACTCTTCAGAAACAGCTTTGTTGTTTGCTTGGGATTTTATTTCTTGTCTAGGACATGAATAAAAATTTTTTGCCACATAGCATTTTCATTCTTTTTTTGAAATGGAGTCCTGTTCTGTCACCCCAGGCTGGAGTGCAGTGGCATGATCTCGGCTCACTACAGTCTCCACCTCCTGGATTCAAGTGATTCTCCTGCCTCGGGCTCCTAAGTAGCTGGGATTAATTTTTGTGTTTTTGATAGAGACATGATTTCACCATATTGGTCAGGCTGGTCTCAAAACTCCTGACTTCAAGTGACCTGCCCACCTCAGCCTCCTAAAGTGCTGAGATTACAGGTGTGAGCCGTCGTGCCCAGCATTGTCGTTCTATTAGTTAAAAATTAACGGGTTCTCTAGAGATGGTCCCACCCCATATCCTGGGGGAAGGAAGCTTCCATTAAAGCCCAAGAGGACGGTGTTTGGAGAGCGTCTGGATAGCTGAACACAGGGAGGTTCCTGCAGGGTGGTGCGCCCAGGGAGGGCACGGAAGCTCTGTGCCCCTTCCTCCCTACCTCACCCTATGTGTCTTTTCATCTGGGTCCTTTGTAATGCCCTTTATAATAAACCTGTAAACATTAAAAAAGAAAAACTGGAGTTGTCTTGCAGTAATGTATTAGAAACACTAGATGTCAGGAGAGAACAAGCTAACCTAATGCTTAACGGGTTGTGTTTGCATTTAGAATAGTAGATTTTAGGAAATTGTTAGAAACCTAAGGAACATTTATGAGTAAATTATATATATTAAATATTGTATTTAATTTATTTAAATATATATATTTAAATATAAACATAAACATAGACTTACACCCAATACCGAATATTTTCCATTCTGATCTATGAGGAGGCCCTAACGACTTGATAGAAACACTTTAAGGGCCAGGTGCTATTATGCACATAAATCTGTGGATTGTACATAAAATTCCAATTCCCTTTTCCCTGATGCTTAACTGGCCAAAATCTAGGCTAGCAGAGTGTTTTTCAGGGTGATTGAAGAAAGAACCAACACATCTCTCATGTAATAAGAGATGCTTCTGAGGAGGCCTGCAGGGAAGGCACCGAATCAATCAAGCATTCCTTGATCATTTCTAAGAATGTGGACAGGAGAAGTGCTTCAAACAAACATGAACTTGGTTTGCATTTTTTTTTCCATGGAGTACATAAGAGTACAACATAATGTCCTCTAAATCTTGTCATAGTTTCCCCTCCAATTTGAAGGGAAAGTTTCTAATCATTAGTTTTCCTATTGAACTTGTTCCTTTTTGCATAAATTTTGCATCCTTTTAGGCTTCCAGTTCGCTGACATTTATTATAATTTCTCATAATCTTAATTTAGAGCCAGTTTGTTTCATAGTCTAGATACTCTTTCGAATTTTACAATACCACTGTAACATCTTTTGCTATAGGTCAGCATTCAAGTTTTTCAGAGAGAAACTCAAGGGTTTGAGGGAATTAGAGAAGCTCAGAATGGAAGAGAATTTATATTATTACGTTGTGAAGTGGGAAGACTGTATTTCCATTAATGAAGCCTACATAGTACTTGTTTTACGCCAGCCATGTCAGTCCTGGATTACGATGAACTGTTCACAAACTAAAAATTGCAACTCTGTCTTTGCCAGTTTGTGTGTCATACTTTCCATCCAGCTTTCCAGTGGAGAAGAGTGGACAGGTGCACCAGAAGTCAGGATGCTGAGGGTCGTTTTATTTGTGGCATTCGCTAACTGTGTAACCTCAGCAAAGCATACATTCACTTAGCCATGAAAGTCTCTATTTATACTCTGCATACTTAGGGTCCTTTAAAATTGTCCTTCGTTTTTAAACCAAGAGAATATGCTTTTTCATTTATAGTCTCTGATAATCTAAAAAATTATTCCATATACTTTTAATAAAACGAAATAATTTACACAATAAAAGTGTTCAACCTGAGCAGTTAGAATAGCAATTTTACTTTCCCAATAGTTAAAACTATCCTTTCTTTTTCAGATTTGTAAAATGAAGTGAGGATGGGAATTTGCATTTTTTTTCTTCTCTAGTCAAAAGGATCTAAATTACTTGGTTCCTCTTTACTAGTCTCTACCCAAGGACAAAGGAGCTAACAAATAATGTATGTGAATTTGTTAGTATAATTAAATATAGTGATTGGCTCCAATTTTGAGGGAAAATAGCCACATAAAACAAGATTTGAACTGCCTTAGAATAGGACTTTAGAACAATAACAATGTAACAATGATAATAAAAAAATTGAATTAAGGAAGTTCTTTTGTTATTTCCTCTTGGCCCAGTTTCACACAGTTGCCAATACCGTTTGTGTCTTGCTCCTTTACTTAACTGGATCAAAAGCACATTTCTTCATTGCTGCAGGGCCTTTACCCTTTGGGAGGATTGGATTGCCCTGCCCAGTGACTAAGCTCAGCAGGCTAGGATTGGTCAGCAGAGGAGGTGGGTTGAGGGTGCAGACAGGTCAGGAATTCTATCTGACATGGTCCAAAGTGGGGCAGGGAAGCAGATCCAAGCCAGTCTACCCGGGGAATCAAAGTGCAAGAGCCAAAAGGACCAGAGTAATTTAGTAACTGGACAACGGAGCCTGGAATTAGGAACTGAGTTGAAGAAAGCTTGACACGCACAGGTTCCCACAAGCCAAGAGAGTCCAGAACCAGTGTCCCAGTATCTGGTGGAGATCACAACTTACTTTATGGTGTTCAGGAGGGTGACTAGGGCCTTCTCTCTCTGTTTTGGAGATGCAGTATCAAGAATTACACTTTTAAAAATTTTCAGTGACTGTAAGACATTCCCTCTGTAAAAGCTACCAGCACTTGCCTCCTTTGGGCAGGAAGGATGTTTTCTTTAAAGCCAACGCAGATTGACCGTAACCCTGCTTCTCCCAGCGCTCAGGTGTAGGCTCCCTGCAGAGGCCTCCTAGGTTAGAATTGCTCTGGGCCACCGC